TGTTAAATTTATTGGTGAACAACAAGCCTCTATCAAAGAAATTACAGATGATTTAATATCAAAATGGAAAAGTCAACATGGAATTAATTTAGCAATAACGGCACGATTTGGTCATATGCATTCTCTTCTTGTTTTTGCCGATGACTCACCAACATTTGAATCATTATTAGACCCTAACAGGTGGCCGAGAACTTTGAAAGAAGCAGATTTAGAAGTAAAAGTTCCTCGACAATCTCCACCTGAATATTCACTTATTATTCAACAATTTCACCGCAATTGGAATGAAGACGAATGGTTAACGGAATTACAACACCGTTATGTCTCTTTATACAAACTTACGCGAATGCGAGTAAAAGATGGTTCATTATTAAATGCAGTTCGAGCCGATTTTAAATCTATAGATGAAGTTAAAACTCTGATTAGATCGGGAAAAATTAATGTTGGTAGTATGATTCATCCAGTAAAACCTTATCATTTACCATTACGTATTAATAAATGTTTAAAGTGTCTACGACATGATCATACAACAAAAAGCTGTTCTCAACCTCGTTTATGTCCAAGATGTGCTGCAGAACATTCTCTTGAACATGGTTGTCCAAATCATGAAAGGTGCATTAATTGTGGTAGTGGTGATCATATATCCGGTCATTCAGCATGTCCAATAGTACAAGAAAAACGTCGTGCTTTAGTGGAACAAGCAAAAAGAAAAAGAGCTGAACTACTAGTATTAGCTGAACGTCAACATCATTATAACTATCAAGAACGTGATTATCCAGCATTAATAAATCACAACTTATCTCATTCATCTTCCCACATATCACATCAACCCGTCGGATCTTCTCAAAGATCTTATGCACAAGCAACCCTGAATCAACGTGAACAAGCTCCTAAACAAAATATTGAACACGTCTTATCGTCCTTTTTAGACAAAATGGAACGTCGATTAGATGAATTTTCATCTCGTCTGTCATCACAATTATGTGATATCGAAAAGAAAATTAACGTCTATTCTGATCGTCAACTTGAAATGGAAAATATTATTAATGAATTAATTCTTCCATCTATTCAAGAATTAAGTCGCATTGTGTCGCAATCATCCAAAAATCGAAGTTTTCAAGAAAATCTTAAAAAATTTAATAACAAAATAAACGATATATTGTTGAACCAGAACAATCACTTGAAATATTACAACCGGCAATTATCATCTGAACATATTGATCATCTAACAGCAAATGTCTCTCATCAATAATTCAATATCCCCGCAGTTTAACAACTACAAATTCATTGAATTATCAGACAAGTTATTACCACTTTTATATGAACTTTCGGATCATCAAAAACGTATTGGAATTGAAACATTACAAGAATGTTGCTGGACGTGGAATTTTCATGATCTTTCTAATTTCTGGCAACAACATTATCGTCAACCTGAAGTACCGACAACCTGTCTTTCAATGTTGCATTACAATATTCGTAATTTCTATTCAAATCAAGTTGATCTTATTGAAATGGTAAATATTCATTCACCAACAATAATTTCTCTCAATGAACTTGGTACCGTGGTCCCGAAGAAACTAATCAAGCAACTTCTCTTTTCCTACAACGTATATATAAAAGAAGGTACAAATGCACATGGTGGTGTTGTACTCGCTGTGAACAATAGATTAAAATGTCAACTGAT